GAGCGATTGAATCAAGCATATCACTAAATAAACCATGCAGAATGGAACCTTTCCTACCCTTTACAAGGCTCCTATCAATGGCCTATTCTCCAAGCTGGTCACAGCCAGGTTGTAGTACACTGGATCGGCTTCCTAGGCAACATCTGGCCCAGTATGGAATTTTCCATTTATGCATCTTCTAAGCAAGCCTAGCATTAGAATCCGGTATGGTTTAAAGACGACTCTGATCTGGAGCCTGGAGTTGAAGTCTTCGCGAGAAACCCCATTTCCGAGTCATACAGCGTAAACATGCTGAATAGGAGCGACATTGCCTTATTTAGTGAGACGCCCGACAGGGAGTGGAGGACGACCTCCTGGCACGACTTTGAGGAATTCACACGCCTCGTCTGTGGCAACCAGGGATACTCGAGTCACAGTCGCAACAGTATACCCTGGCATATTCAGCGGCGATAATTTAAATGTAGCGTTGCGGGGTATAGAGGTCGCTTTCGATACTTTAAAGGCCTTTAGCGTTATCTGTCCGGCCACTTGGCGGGAAAACCTTATTCTTGCTGGGTTCCGGAGTGTCGGCGTAGCTTCTCGCGTCGCGATAACCTTAAAGCCTACTATGCCACGCATGGAAGACAAGGAGGCCGTAATCGCTACGTGGCTACCCTTGATCTAACTAGCTCTGTATACGACCCTTGTTTTCGCGGACAGCTAACGTCCGATGGCTTGCCAGTCAGAGGGGTAAATATGGGCTTGCCCGATATTTGAACTGGGTTTGCTATGAGAGTAGGGGGGTTGAAGTATTTTTGTTTTGGTGACGTGTTATGTTAATGACGGACGCTAGAGGCGATCGGTGGAAGTGCAGAGACACGACGTGAATCCTAGCGACGCGACTCTACTTGGGCGAACCTGGTTTTTGCTGTTATATTTGAACAGTCAACAACGCGAGACGGAAGTGAGGACTGAATTAAACACCGAATGGCTAGACCTATGAGGGGAAACTGATCAAACGCAAAAAATCTAAATATCATTCGGAAATGACGACGCGCGGAGGATTCGAACCCGAAACGCGCGACCCTAGTGGAGAAGGTTGTTGTGAATTGGGATGTGCCTGCTAGGAATGAAGCCGCAACATCGGAAATAATTCCTGGTCTATGTATGAAAGGAACTAAGTTGATTGGAAATCAAATTAGACTTCGCGTTGTATATATACTTATATGTTTTCCCTCAAGAAGAAAAATCAAGCTTCCTTTTGCACTACAACAAAGACTTCGGGTTGGCGGGGGAGCTCCGTAGGTATCTACGGGACAAACTAAGATACGCCTAAAGAGGATTGACAGTGCGCCCCGAATTAGCTAGGAGATATAGGTCTACTGTTCCGGGGTGGACTCACCGATAGCCGACAGAACCACCTGACCGAATAGAAGCCAGAGTGACCCGTAGTCAAATCCATACAGACCCCGCCGATACACTCTAATGTTAAGGCAACAGGAACTACGTATCTTACAGTACAACGTCCAGAAATCAAGAGATGTCGTCCTTGCTAGCCTGTTCCAAAACTGCAGGGTTCTGGAATACGACATCCTAGTAATTCAAGAACCCTGGCGTAATCTATTCACTGCCACATCCTACCACCCTCTCAAAACACACTTCTAGCTCACATACTATGCTGATGATGAGACGAGGGTGTGCCTTTACATCAATAAACAGATTAACCTAGCCACTTGAAGCGTCTCGTTCACCTCCAAGGACATCATCTCTATGAAAATCTCTAACCCCCGGTCTAGTAAAAGCATCCACATCTTTAACGTCTACAACGATGTGACTACAGATACGCTCCCGACCCTGGCTGGGACTATCGGTAGCCTCAGTCCGGGAAGCGAGATTATTATACTTAGCGACTTCAACCTACACCACCCTTTATAGTCCACTGCTCACCAACGCGCCAGAAGGGGAATTAGCGCTGAACACCTATATGAGCGTACGGTAATATAGTGATATGCTCTTAAGGAGAAAGCGGGCCTCATCATTAAGCAAATCTATACCTACAACACTAGATATGATTCGCTCTTGGAGTGTGTACTTGCTAAGTGAATATAGTTAGCAAGTAATTTGGATGGTCACTTTCTCGCTAATAATCTCTCTATCCATAATCTTCCTATGAACCGTCGTCCTCCAAACAAGAGCAGCCTATTCTCCTAACCTCTTACCCCGACGCCAAAAAGTTGTCTCGAAAAACTCCCTCTATCGCCTTCCACACAGAAATCGGAAAAGACCCATGGATCCAGTAGTCACTATTTGGTGTACCTGCGAAAAAAAATGCATTTCTAGCTAACATGTTGTTTGGGCTCATATTATTAACGCAGTAGTGCACCGGATTACTCTTGAATGCTTGACGACCTGGTTTTCTATTGCCCCTAGCACATTTCTTCTTCAAACCCGATGTAGACCCTTGGTATTTGGTAGTATTTTGTGCGATTTGAACTGTAGGGCCAAAATTAACTACCTCGAAGAGGCGAGCCTTTGACCAATTTGACACCGTAATCAAAAACGAACTCGTATCGCCAAACATTGGTGGTAAGTGTGTTTGTTCTAGTGAGATTCGAGTTAGGCGTGCTAATGTATGGATTTGTAGTTCGCTGGTCTGTGTGTTGATGCTATGACGGATCTTGAGAGCCGTAGCCCCAAGAGCATCCGTCTTTCGGATGAGGTCGTAAGCAGATATATTTGTCTAGCACGGAAAGATAGCATTCTGTATATTACTGCCTTGGCTTTTTTTGGCTGGGAAAATGGATAGTAGGCGAGGTTGAAGATCAAACGCATTGCTGATACCGATAGTCCGTGATGACTTTGAAGGCAGAAGAGTTGAGGCAACGATCAGTGAGATCCATGCCGTTAGTATATCCCCCTCACTTATAAAAGGCGCCTGTCTTTCAGTAACCTCAGTAGCAATATTCTTCTTAGCTCCTTCTGTAAGTGAAGCTAGTATATTGCTCCGGAGTTGGCTCACAACCTTTCGGGGCAAATATACGGCCCGAGTCTCTATCTTCGGCCACCAGAGTAAATCAAGCATAAAGCGAAGTCCCTAGAGAAGTAGCCGCTATCCCTTGACTTGTTGTTCTTCAAGGATGTCGGTATCTAGGAAGCGAGGGTCTTTGCCGATGGTAGCCATCGGATCGTCGTTAGAAGACAGTATCGGCGGGATTTCTGATTGTCGCCCAGTAAGCACAAGACTCTATGCTGTAGCCAAGTCATGTAAGCTCATTGCATCTGCTGCAATATGAGGCCAATAAAGCGATATAAGCGTCGCGTCAGTGAATGACCCGATATTTAGAGTTATTTGTGGGTGATCAGAGGTAAGGTATTCATTCAGACAGACTGGTGCATTTAGTGGCATCTAGAGTTTTCTAAACACCGAAGGGCCATCTTGTAGTGACGGAACGCTATTAGTGGGTACGGGCAGCCTTGAAGCCAGCGGGTGTTCATTTATGGTGATGTGAAACTCTTCATGATGAAAATTAATAGCAGGTCTATCCGTAGTGAAGGACTGGGGAACGTGAATCTCCGACTTATGCTCTGACTTTCAGGAGTAGCGTTGTTAGAGAATCCATTTGAATAAGTGTAGGTTTCGCGATTAACGCCTACATTTAAACGAATACGGCCCCCGAGCTTACGCCAACCCTCACGCTCGAGTAGCTACGACAAAGACATCCGCAGCATTTCTGGATCGAGTATATCGTTGAACCGAAGAGTAGCACTGAACGATGTTGCGTAAAAGTGGGGTGTCATCAAAATAGTAGACTGGCAAAATCATATCAGTTAGTACTGTTTCACATGCTGACTCGTGTGATCCTTTTTTAAATATAAGCCGTCGAAGGAAATCCATCGTTCCCAGAAGAGTGAGATAAGGGTCAAATACTTGAATGAGGACTCGAAGGTCGTACTTATAGGGTCTATAGCATATATAGAAGCGCCTTAAAAGAACCAGCAGGGCCCTCGAGACATATTACGAGATCATCGACTAGTGCCGTCAGTGTCATCGCGCCACAGACAAGCACCCTATACAGGGCGTAGTGTCGGTTAGCTCGTCTGGCTAGTATCATTGACTTTTCCTCGCTAGCTAGAGCTTCTCTACCGAGTGTGAACGCAAGGCTATCGAGATATGAGCCACTGTCAGATGATACAGTATCAGAGGAAGACTGGACATGAGAAGAAATTACCAGCGATAATACCGGACCCTACACATGCAATGTTAGCATAGAACGTGCTTGGGCTCACATTTATTCTCACACTGCTTATCTTTTGCTATGAGGGTTTATGCCGTACCTTCCTGTCGGATCCTTATCTATTAAACAGCGCGGAGCGAAGGCGCTTTCTATATTATCTATCGAGAGAGGTTTCCTACCTCCTCATACGACCTAGGCGATACTCGATCCGACGGCACTCCATAAAACGCTCGATCTTCATTCAACGCAATCATGGCATAATAGGTAGATGTGTGAGACAAACCGGTAAAGAGGCATATTCGGTGTGTCTGGCGAGCAAATTGCTAGCGGCAGCCATAGGGCACCACCTAGTTAGGGAGGGCTGTACCAAAGAGTTAACGGTTGTTCCCCGTATGATTACGACTACTTACCTACTTCATCGTGGAGAAGTACCGTCCTAGAGTCCGCACAGTTATCCTTATGAAGTATAATATGGTAGTCCGGGCCGCTGGGACCGAGCCTACGAACCGATTCCGCCTTATTATCTTCCTAACTGACTAGAATACCACCGGGGTATGGCTTTAACTGGATGCTATGCGGCATATATCGCAGTCGCCGTCTAACCTGCCGCATGAATCTCAATTCTGCCGGTCGAGACGTCGGATGCGCCTTGAATATGGATGTAAGTGATCGAACTAAGAGCTCTTCCACCACATGGCAGCAGAAAAACGACGCGGTTGTGTCGGGGCGGTTGGTTGGAGACTAAGGCCGGCAGAGCGACCGATGATGTATACAGGCAAAGTCTAACTATCGGTAGTGTATCTTTAGCGTACCCTGTCCCTTGTTAAAGTAAACGTCGACTTTGCCGGTTGAGCCTCGGATGTAGACTACCTGAATATGATCGGTGAACTTTAGCAGAGCGAAGCAGGCTTGTAGTGCTCGGTTAACGGTTCTCGCGAATGTAGTGTCCGGAACGATGTAGGGCTTTGTATCTTTGAACTGTTTTTGCTGCTCCTCTTCGACAGTCCGGATGGGGCAGTGGGCACGCAGTATCTGCCATAGCATATCCGGTAGGCAGGCCGGGCGCTTGCTAAGGCTATCACGGATGGTGTTCGTGGTCTGTCTGCATTAGCTATCTAAATATTACACGCTGTGAACCGCAAGCACATACCTAATCATTGTTTCGCTCGCTGTAAAAGAATTCTTTATCCCCTGACTCGCGTAGTAGGTATTGCTAGATCTGACGCCGCGCCGATGGCTCTAAATGAGGGCCTATTATCTCGGCCTCCGTAGAATAGGCATGCTTCCGCAGCAGATCGATCACTAGAGGCAAGACGGTGTCTTCCTTCTCGCGTAGCGCGTCCTCCTATATCTTTCGTACCTAGTGAGCCGTATCCCGCTAGGATGCTAGTCGGCGACGATCGCGGTAGGTAGACGAATAGGCGAAATTGTACGCGAAGAGGAATGCGCCGCCCACGGTGGTATTGGTCAAAGTGATTCCATTGTGATAGAGCTGGCCTCGTAGCTGGGGATTAAGGATCAAGTCGCTATGTTGCGTGGGGATGAGACTAGAAGGGTAGGTGAGGCCGCGAATGTCTATCGTCGTTAGGCGGAGCCAATCCAAAAACGCGTCTAGCGCGACGGGTCGGCCTGGCTTGGTCCGCGTTCTGCCGATCACCATAGCGACGTCCCTCCCCACATGGTAACGTAGGCTTGCTATGTCGAGGGCAGGATCGATCTACCCGATCAACTTGGTTTTCTGAGATGGTGTGACCGTACAAGAAATCGAAGCAGTATCTGTGTGCATGTCAAACCTCTAATTGCAACCACTCGCGGCGATACTCACCTAGTAGCGATCTCGAGCGAGGACGAGGCCCGCTAGCTTAAGACCCTCGCTATGATGTCTAACAAGATGCTTGTGAGCAGCTTTGGTGGAGAATCCTATCGCTAGAGCATTGATGGGTAGTTGCATGTATGGATTTACTATCGTGATTCGACCGGCCTCCTTTTCGTACTGAATGAAACCTAGTGCGCGTCGATTCTTACGGTCCCCTGGCTGGTCGGGAACAACGACTGAGAGATGTTCACTATGGTCTTCCAAAAATGGCTGGAAGCTCTGACGGTCAAGGTCGAATCTTTCGATGATGGCGTCCTTCCTGCGTGGATTAGCGCTTGCCTAGCGAGAGAGGTTAGCACGTACCAATTTTGATATAACTCCCGAAATACATCTACTGGTGTCTAGTCTCTGACGTAGCTGGGGGAGATGCCGAGAGACACCACACGTCGAGGCGCTTGGTATGTAGTAAGGGTGAGTTTCTGACTCTGTTGCAGCTCGCGTTCAAGCTGCTCGTTCGCTTGAGCCATCAGGCTATCATCCTCACTTGTGTCGGTGTCATGATTGGTTGTTATACTTGAATATCGCGTAGGTGAATTAAAGTGAGTTGGTTTTGGGAAGAGAATTGACTGGAGAAGGGTGATAGTATTTATATTCTAGCTTTCCGTACTGAACCATGAGACCTATTACATGTTGAGCAACGGTCACCTTTCTATCACACACTAGCAGTCTTATAATGAGGGCAAGTGCCTCACCTACTTGAGCCCTGTATGTAGGATTGACAAGCGAACGTTGCAGGCGCTTAGTGGTTTCGAGTTGATGCTTAACGTTAACGGCGTGGCTCATATTTTGCAGGTGATGTGGTAAGCGTTCGCCCCTAGCTTTCCTGGTGCTCGCTTAACAATGAGTCAACATGCGTGCAGAACATCTGCTTAGTTTTTATCTTGATACTACATTTATAGGTAACCGAAATGAGCATGCAAAATGTGGTCGTATAAACGATTGTTCTCTTTTATAAAGAAATTCCTTATGATTTAGGCATAACTCACCAGATAGGAAATTGTTGACTCTATACAGTATGACCTAGGCACTATTCACAAGAAGAAATAACTATCTAGACGGACTTATTCTTCTTAATAAGCATGACGCGCAAGATGGAGGGTTACTAGTGATGTGTTTGCCTTTAGGCCGTTCTAGAAAGCGTACTGTATGGACCTGAGGGAGCTAAGCCGATTTGGCACCTTTAATAATTGCTAAAGTCGGCAGTGGTCCCAGGAGCTTTATGCTGTTCCGAGGAGCAGGGTATATCGTCGTAAATAGCAGGCCTGTGGGCCCCAGGAACGCAGAAGAGAGGCCAGGGTTTATCACACGTCCTTCTAGGTGCCTGGTCTATTCTAGGAAAATCTGGTCTGCTCCCCTAGTTCTGCAATATATGGGTTGCTCGATAGCAAATAGGATTGACGAATGATCTCTAACCTTTTCTAGATCTGGCTCAGGAACGGGAGCCGGAGATAGGGACCTATTTCTGCCGGCCTTTTCCTACCTGTGAGTTGGCTTTTCGTTAGCTAGAATTTATGCCATCATACTGCTGTATAGCAAGTCTCCTGTTTGCGATAATCTTCCCTGAAAATCACCTTGCTTCAGATCGGGCATAAAACGTCCAAAACAATCTTAGCAGTGACAATGCTCCGGTTCAGTGGTTTACTAGAGAGGCCACCTGTAATTATCTGCCAAGTTTTGTACAAACACATTTGGATTCAGGCCTATTGCCAAGGATTTGTGTGCATAGGTAAGGCCGTATCTGGGAAATATGCGGGCAGCTCCGTGCGCGGTCGTAAAGACAATCGGAAGAGTCTCGGCTGATCATCCCTAGCGCTAGAGACGATATCTAGAATTTGTCTGCGCACCCTGTAGAGATCGTATCTGCTATATTAGGCCGAAGACAGGTGGAACAGATGCTCCTTAATTGTCTCACCCGTGAGCTAATCTAGCTCCGTGAGGCTTATCTCCACCTAATGCAGTAGCCTCGCTAGAACAAACGCCGATATATAGAGTATTAGATCTTCGCATTGAGTCGTAGGGGAAAGAAGATCTGGGCCCAGCCAGTTGAAGCCTGCTTGTAGATTCTCCGGGTCAGGAAAAAGAAGACAGTCGACTGAAGGTGGTATCGAAACGCTAGGGTCAACCCGTTGAGCTCCAATGGGTGAATGCAAAATATCGTCGCAGTCAGTGGCTAAGAGGGGCGGTGTTGCTGGAATGTCGGACGAGTTGGACCAGAACTCGTGAAGGTCGATACAGTCTAGACTGTAATGAGCTTAGTACATCACGTCCTGATACAGTACTTTGTGCATACCTTTATCGTCGATCTCCATATTCTGATGCCGTGGCCTTTACAACCAGATATGAGACTTTCCAGAAATTGTCAAGGAAGCGAAGTATGATATTTTGGAGGCTGAAGAAGACATTTATAGAATTAAGAATCTAGATCAGACTGTCAGTGATGGTACTGTAGAATATTACTTTCGATGCAATGAAAGTGTTTTTATCGAGGGCCAAGAAGCCACCCTTATTTCCTCGTGATATCATACCACCTACAGTGATTACAGCATCATTTCTAAACGCTAAGGTGCATAGGTACATGCCTTATTTGCCTTAGAGCCGTCTAATAACTAGTTAATATGGTTATATTCGTTAACCATCAAAGTTCAGAGCGGTCACATACAAACGATTAAACGTCCAGATTCTAAATTGATAGACCTATACCATGGATAATTGTCAATCTTCTACCCAGGAAGACTGTTAAAGCTCCTGATTGATATATACTATGTTGACATCTAGGTACTTCCATTGACCCAGATTTCTTCGTCTCACCGGCGCTAGTGAACGGTTAGATTGAAAAATATGTGGTTAAGTCGGAAGCACTAACGTCGAATCGTCCAAGTTAACCAAGGCAAGTGGGAGTGTTTGAAACCAACACATCAAAGCCGTTTCCTCATCAACCGGCATCTTCTGTTATGGGGATCAACATCAACACATCAACATCAACATCAACACATCAACATATCACCGTTCATCTTTCGCGTATCTAATTACAGAAACTAGATGTCTGAATGATGGATTTTGGCTAGATTCTCATTCGAAAAATGCCTAGTAATCGCATTCTGATTTTTTATACGAGCATTTTGCACGGGATCATGATTGACCTACGGAAGATCCTCTACAAATCTTGTTCAAATTATCGAAACTCCATATTAACTGTAGATGTTATCTAAGAGCTATCACGACACGTTTATAACATGCGTGTTGACCGGCGAAGTGATAGCGACGTGCTAGACTCCGCGAACTAGGATGATCCTCTGGTAAGTCGAGCTGACCGACGGACACCGTGTTCCACGCCATATCTCAACAACTACCCCCGAAGAAAATAAAGAATCCGGATATTCGATATAGCTTCCATAGCACTCCCGAAGTGGCAAACATTTCTTACTCGGCGGTCGCGGCAAAGACGCCTAACAACGTGCTCCTTCCCATTACGGGCTGCGAGCTCCAGGGCTGACTCTCCATATCGATTAGTACCCGTGACATCTAGCCGATCGTCTTTGAGTAATAACTCCACAATATCCAGGTTCCCATAAGAGACAGCCATATATAGCGCGGTGTCCCCAAGAGAGGTCTTTACATTAACATCTAGTCGAGACCCTTATTCAAGGAGCAGCTTTGCGACATCACGGTGTCCGTTTTCGATCGCGATAAATAGAGGAGACTTATGCCAGACAGTCTGATTAATATCAACCTCGTCAAGGGAGACAAGTCGGCGGACCACTTCTAGATGTCCTCTTTCAGCAGCAAGATAAATAGGAGATGCTCCCAAAGCATTCAAATCTAGATCGGTCCTAGTAAGGAGGAGCTCCAACATCCGCAGATCGCCCTGATCCGCCGCGTAGCTGAGGGCTGTCCACCCCTAGTCATCGCAGATGTTTAGGTCTAGTGAATCCAAGTCCACAAGCAGACAAGCGAGGAGAACGTTTCGATTTTCAACCGCAAAGTGAAGAGCAGTCTTTTGGCCCAGGAAGCGTGCGTTGACATTAGCTGGCTCCTCGGCTAAGATCCGCAATGCGACGGATCGGTGATTCCCACGAGCAGCCGCACAGAGGGCTGTAGCTCCTTCGCCGTCACCAGCAGCAATGTCAATTCCAGGCGTGCTCAAAAGTAGCTTTATGGTTGACTTGTGCCCATAGAATGCAGCGAAATGCAGTGCTATGTGGCCCCCGAGGTGAGGACTATTGACGTCGACTCCATGGCTCAGCAACAGTTGGATGACGTCGTCATGCCCGTTGCTGGCGGCTTGGTGCAACAAGGGCTGGCCTTATCTGTCCCTGACATACACATCGGCACCATACATGATCAGAGCTTGAGCGATTTCTTTCAGACCGGCGTCGACAGCTAAACAAAGCGGGTATTTACCATTCACATCCACTAGCCGAGGCTGTGAAGGATAAACTTCTGAATGACGAAGCAGCAATTTGGTGATAGATAATTTCCTTTTAGAAATCGCCAAGTTGAGAGGGGTGATCTGCTGATAGTCTATCGTCTATATATCGCTTTGCAGTCCCAGGAGAAGTTATACTAACCCCTCGTCGCAATTAGCAACAGCATACCGGATGGCATTTCGATCCTTATAATCTTTATAATCCACTAATGGATATCGCAGACCTTATCATGCGAAGCACACTTAGTATCGCAGAGCTCATCCTACGGAGAACAGTTAGTATCGCAGAGCTCATCCTACGGAGAACAGTTAGTGTCGCAGAGCTCATTCTGCGGAGAACAGTTGACTCTTACTTCACTGGGCTCATACCAGCAAAAGCTAAGACCCCAAGCCAAGGTCTACAAGCAGACCACAAGACTATACCATCGTGGAGGATGAGGATTCAAATCCTGATTTTCCAGACCGGTCGTGCAGCCTCCTTTTATACCTTTTCGCCTCCGCCTAACCATAGCCGCCAGGTATGCAGATCTCTTGGAAAAAGTCATGTAATGTGCTGTAGTCACAGCTTTTTTGCTGTGAATGCAGTTGACTCAACAGCCGTTGAAGCATGCTTTTAGAATTTGTGGCCAATCTCACGAAGCGCTCCACCCCGAACCGTGGATTAAAGAGATTCAGACGGGCCGCCCCCTTAGATCCGTATTTTGAACATCGCCTTTCGCGATCACATTGTTTACGGAGAATCACCTTCAACAAACCGATGAATCCTGAGGATTACGTTGGAAAACGCCGAGTGAGATGGAGACTCAGGTGTTACATAGGCTGACCTGGACGGCCGACGGGGAACTTACGGACGAATACGGTTGGACCCTTTCCCTCTGCACCAGCGTTAGAAGTCTACACTTCGGTTTTTGTCTCTCTCACAACCAGGTATAGGGCAGAAAGTCGAGTACAATAAATTGACGACAAGAATGTCCTCAACGTTCAAACTTATTGTTCATAAAAGTTCCCTAGGTATCTAATCAATAGTACGCCATACGATCTGCAAGTATTGATCCGCACAGTATATAACTTAGGTCTAGAATATCTAGCCCTTATCCACTCGGACATAATGGTTGCCATCGCTCTACCGTTTTGATTCATATGTTCGGGATAGGACAATATCAGACCAGCGGAGAGTATATCCGACTAGGTCGACCTCCAATACATGCGGTTTGCGTTTTCCGAATAGGGAGCCAAGGCCTTCCGCTTTAAGATCGCTGATAAGAAGAATTTAGGGAAGTCGCGCAAGGTTCACGTCTGCCTATAAACAGTCCTATAAGACCGTAGTAGTTTAAGAATGGAGAGTAGCCGTTTCTCTGGCAGGATAAAGTGACGAAGACATAACTGAGCGTGTAAATCCTCGATACTCGAGCGAAGAGGATCCCAATCCATACGCTAGGTTTCTCGGCTCGGGTCAATGTACATTTTTGATCATGCTCTGCTGGGTATGAGGTTGCAACACTTTGTACACACACAATTCATTAACGCCCGGCGGCTGAGCCGAAAGGGCAACTAAAACTAATCTATCGATACACGTCCTAATATACATCTGCCGTGTCTCCTTCGAGCCCATACATAGATCCTTATAGTATATGTCCTCTCAGCTATCAATATCAAAGGGATCCTTGTGGGTTAGTAAGTTAGTTAGTAGACTGGCTTAAAGGCGCTTCTTCAAGTGTTCAACATCCTATCTTCGGCAGTTAAAGCGCGTCCACCATTTACGGCACAAGGTAGTAGGTATAGGTTAGTAAAGGGGGAGTGGGGGAGTGGGGTATCGTCGTGTTAGTTAACGTGGTTAGGTGGCGTCGAGTCGGCCCGTGGCGATCGCGAATCGTATTAAGGCTCGCACCGCTTCCAAGTTCGGCATCCATCGCTAATTATCCGAGGGCGATTTCCCGCCCAGGAAGAAGGAGAGATTACCTCAATAAGTTTGACTAGTCTGCAGCAATGCTATCCGTTGTGTGGTCCATTTCCAACATCGAAAGAGGAAGTGTTCTACGGTCTCTCTTGCTTGTCCACATACACACTAGTCCGTGTCTGCAAGGTTAATCCGACAGAGATAGCTATTGAGTCTAAAGATGTTATTCAGGTAGCAGATGAAATTAATCTCAATCGTCCCATCTATACTACTCCATATAATTTCAAATCGTTTGAGAAATGGGCATCGGAATCCCGATTCAAGACGGTTATAAAAACGTATGAGCCACCAACTCCCCTTCTCATCACTTTCTGGCAACTAGTTGACGCCGATATAGCTAGCTAGCAATGGGTCTCGATCTGTAATTCGCTACGCTAGTATCTGTAATTAGTGTACGAAAATTGAACCATCAGAAAAGAATTTGACGATTGTTGTCTCTGCAGCTTTCAAGCAATTTTCAACATGTGTATTATGAGTAACAGGCCTCGAACGTGTAGGTACCGTCGTCCCTAATACATATCTTATATATTGCCCGGAACTTGCAAAATCAACAGTGATTAAATGCTTCTTTCATAGCTCTTTTCAGAAACAGTTACAAAATGTTAGTGGGGCGAATCCTAGGCCGAGACACACTGCTAGAAAGCCCGCTGTTGACTATTATCACGCCAAGATCATTAACCAAAACGCCTAAGATGGGTAAGAAAGATAATGTTGCATCCTTTCGTCCATCTTACGCCCAAAATCGATTTTTGAGCCTTTCATAATTATATTGCCCTAGAGCATACCAATTTTGGTGAAAGTCTTGGCACCACGATGGTACATGAATTAAAAATATTGATAATACTAATACACGGGGAAAAAATAAACGTGTAACGTGTTATATGAAAGATACTAGCGCCGCTAAGCGGATAGCCACACTTAAACGTGTCCGCACGTGAGAGATAGCGTATCAACCTGGTGTGGAACATTGGGTCCGGTGGAAGTAACTTAGGCTCAGGACCGCATCGACGTATGAGAATGAACAGCGACGAACGAAGTTTAGCAAGTACTGTATAGATAACAGATCGATATGTGTGCTGCCTCTACACTATATGTTATAGGCATAATCTAGAATTAGAAAGCCTCTTCATAGTCCTGTGTTAATTGAAAAGTCATAGATCATCGACTGATCGTAGTGTAAAACTGATCAGGTATAAATATCTATGTCATGCTTCTAGCACCCGTTAAAAGATTGCTTATGCCTATCTGTCTTTATTATCGTCACATACAGAATTTAGCACGCTTTTGGTATGCGTAAGGAGCGATCGATATTGTGTCCGGCTCTCGTAGTTCCTATCTGGGTATACCCGTTCCGAAATCGCTCGGGATTTGGCCTGCTAACCGTGGAGAAGCTAGTGTATGTCTAGCCATGCCCGGACCGATAATTGTACTATGCGGTGCATATCGATCAACCGGTCGTTCCTCTCTAGTCGGATCAGAGAATAGCTTAGTAGCTGCGCTAACGCATCATAAAACTCCATTTCATCTTACTCAGAGTCGCGCACCAGATTTTCGGGGATTTCGCGCTAATGATCCTCAATTCTCCGGGCCATAGATCCCGTTTTGAGAGAGATCTGGCCTCCAGGAACAATTTGTCGTAGGGTCTTTAATTTATTTATTCAAAGGATAATTGAGATATTAAGAGTAGTGACTATTGGGTGATGCCGATGTCCAGTGGCCTTCACGCGTCATTAAAACCACGGTCAATCTAGTCAATCTACGTCTCTTGAAGTTTCCCTTGGCCCTTAACCGCTCTTTGAAGATAACTACGACTGCTGAGCGTTTTAGGGTCGTCGTGTCCAAGCACCTTCTCCCGTGATTCTAATGCCCGGCGAAGTATCACTTCTGCTTCTTCATATTTGGCTTGATTATCAAGTGCCAACCCGAGGTTAGTGAGACTGGTGAGCGTATAAGCATGCTCACATCCAAGAACGTCTTTATATCCTTGCAGTGCGCGTTGATACATCGCTTCCGCCTCGTCATATTTTCCTTGGCTGAAGAGCGAATTGCCAAGGTTATTGACACTGGTGAGTGTCTCCGGGTGCGCGTATCCAGGGCCTTCGCTCGTGTGTCTAATGCGCGTCGATGCATCGCTTCCGCCTCTTGCTGTTTTTGTCGGTTGTGAAGCACTAGGCTAAGATTATTGACGCTGGTGAGTGTGGACGGATGTTCGCGGCCAAGTAACCTTTCTTGCGCCTTCAATGCTCGTCGATGCTTCGCTTCTGCCTTTCTATGCCTTCCTCGATAATCAAGCATTAGGCCAAGATTATTGAGACTGGTGAGCGTGTCAGGATGCTCGCGCCTAAGAACCTTCTCTCGTGTCTCTAATACCCGTCGATGCAACGCTTCCGCCTCTTCATATTTCCCTTAGCTGGAGAGCACATTGCCAAGGTTATTGACACCGGTGAGTGTGTCAGGATGCTCGCGCCTAAGAACCTTCTCTCGTGTCTCCAACGCCCGTCGATGCATCGCTTCCGCCTCCTGGTGCTTGCCTCTGTTATCTAGGACTAGGCCAAGATTATTAACGCAGGTGAGCATATCAGGATGCTCGCGTCCAAGCACTTTCTCACTCCCTCTTAACGCCCGTCGATACATCGCTTCTGCCTCTTCAAATTTTTCTTGCCTATAGAGCACATTCCCTAGGTTACTGACACTGCTAAGAGTGTCGGTATGCTCGCAGCCAAGAGTCTTCTCTCGTACCTCCAATACACGTCGATGCATCGTTTCCGCCTCTTGGTGCTTTCCTAGGTTATTAAGTACTAGGCCGAGATTATTGACACTGGTCAGAACGTTAGGATGCTCACGTCCAAGAACCTTCCCTCGTGCTTCTAATGCCCGTCGATACATAGCTTCCGCCTCTCCATATTTAGCTTACCTGAACAGCACCGAGCCAAGATTACTAACGCTGGCGAGCGTGTCAGTATGATCGTATCTAAGTAGAATCTGTCGTATTTCCAATGCCCGTCGGTGCGTCGCTTCTGCCTCTACATATGCGCCTCGAAGTAGTAAATACCATCCGCTTTTAGAGGAAATCGTGGCCACGTGCAGTCGATCAAATTTATGATCAGTAGATATCGATTTAATCACTTCTTTTGCATATGGAAGCAGCCTCTGGCATTCAGTCTAGCTCTCGTATTCTCCATCGGGAAACATCTGTGCTATGACGGCTCGCGATTTCTGTTACCACCGTGCCAGCTCGAGGTGGATCTCAAGCCATGTCCGGACCGATAACTGTACCAGTCGATGCATATCAAATGACGCTGTTTCAAGTTTAACTCTAACAAGAGAATAACTGATCAATGGCGCAACTGCATCTTCAAACTGGACTTCATCACTATCGCCACGGATGAGGCCTTCTAGGATACCCTCTCGATCAAACATACTCATCAACGCTAGTAAATTCGTCGCTACAGGCCGGTCATGACGTATTTGATCAAATGACAGCTGCCATGTCGTAACAACCGCATGCCGAATACTAGGGTCCCGCCGTAGGTCTTTAGCGTCCTTATGCTGCAGAAGATGGGCCTGGTTAGACTCGCTCTCACGGAACAACTGAAGGTACCTGGAGATAGTCACACGAGATGGTCGATTAGCAATATAGGATCCTGCCTGCGTGATTGCTAGCGGAACAAACTCAAGCGCCTGGACCAGGGCCTTCTCGTCCTCTCTAGACTCTCCAGATTGGGCGCCCGGAATTCTAGCACGTAGAAGGACGATTGAATCTTCTTCATTCATTGGCTGTACTGTGATCACATGGGCATGGTCCCCCACCAGATTCCGTGCCGCAAGGCCATTTCGAGATATGACCAGGATTGATCCATGCGCGGCCTACGGCAGGAAGTTCACCAGTGGCCCTCGCTCAGTGGACGCATTGCCAGTGAAAAAGACACCGTCGTCATCCGCATTATCTAATACCATCAGCTAGTAACTACCCGTTATGTGTATTACATAACCACTGATAAACGAGCTGGAGGATGTTCGTCTTCGGATCGTTCCGTCCCGGAATCTCCGCAGCTATGGCAATCTGCTAGTAGCCCTGTTCTAACCGCGCCGCATTGCTCGCGTGGATCCAAAATACCCACGTGTCCGGAGTTGATTCTCGAACGCGATAAGAATACTCAATAGCTATCTGGGTTTTGCTAAGAGGTAGTGAAACCAACGATTAGTGCTTATTCATAATGCTATCTTTTAGGGATAGCTTACCCGACGCCGGCCAACCCCACTAATGCCACTCGCTCATGAGTCTGGCCGATCTCCTTATGTCTATCCTTGATCGCACTGATGATAGCTTCACGGCCCACAAACATCGGATCCTTCTTAAAAGGCACCGTGGAGCACGGCTGAGGCTTTGGACGCGTCTGCGCTGAAACAGTTCCGTTAGATCGCGAAAACACCCTGTAGCATATCACTTACTAAACCGAGCTGCTACCACTGACGGCGCGTCCTTTAAGAATTACCGCAATTTATCGAGCACCGTGCGATACCCGGCCGCGTTGCGCGTGTCGAATTTGACGATTATCGAGTGATTAGCATGTAGCGGCACCTTGTCCTCTATATGGTCGGGGAGCTGGAGAAGAGCCGAGTCTGCCCCCGCTATCGTTATAAAGTCTCTAGTGCGTTTCCATCGTCCGCTTTCTAAGTCCTACGCGATGATTAGTATGGTATAGTCTGTTTAGATAAAGATCAAAATGTACTAATACTAACCGTCTTGTCTGCTCCGTCTCGTAGAAGCTGACCACTTTTCGATCTCGGATTAGATTTTTGAAATCTGCCAGCTGGTGGACTAGCAGGTCCGATTTGCTAGAGATTTGATGTAGTAGTTGCCCTCGCGGGTGGCTCTTATCACCGGCTAGCATCTGCTGGATATCATCTATCACCAATCCTTTATGCGGGATAGTAAAGAGGATCATGCCGTACGTGGCTCGATATAGCGACGTGATCGCAGGGTGGTCTTCCTCCATCGTTTAGATGTCCCGTACTAGGCACTGCAAGACAATATCAGTATATAATATTTTGTACCCAAGATCAGATGATGGTCCTACGTGAGCCAAGATAATGCCTCTAAAGCTATACACGACGAAAATCAGAGGCCTCTGCTGGAGCTAGCCGAAAAATTAGCCTATACTTGCTATATATAGATAAACCAGACAGCATGCCTACCTCCTTGATGTTTCGGATCTTCTTGATCTCCTCCATTAGCTCTCGCCCATAGTCGAGGATCGTGTCGATTCCGTGGCTCGACAGCCTAGAGTTGTACCCGTAGATCATGGTACGGCACTGCGGAAGATCCTTTAACAAGAAGTCACGCAGCCACATCCGACCGAGATTTCCTCTTCCTTACCACGATCCGTACGTATGTCTATCTAGTCCGGCGATGGCCATGATGCTGTATTGCGTGAGTTAGGATCAATCTTCTGGGTCTAGATCGCGGCGCGGGTCCTTACTCGGCAACCACTGGCTCATTCTCATCCGGCGCGTAGAGCTGCGTGAATCCAAAGAAGTGAGAGTCAAAGTTGATGTCATCGTCTCCCATTTCAACCTGCCAGGCGCCAAGAGGGTCGATTCTTAGCTCACCGAGGAACTGAGGCACCCCACCGCGAAACTGCACCAGCGCCACCCTCTGCGTGTCACTTTCATAACATGAAGGCACAATTGTGATCTCGGCCTTGATCTGCGATCTCTCGTCGTCGGTGAAGCTGTCGTCGAGTACCTTTTGCAATGCGGCCTTGAGATCCCCGTCGGGCTATACCCTCGACAGGCCTGTCACCCGGAAGACGGGCGACTTTCTTTGGCTAGCTATCGTAGTTGCTTTCAACAGAGTGGTACATTAACTTACATGAGAGTGGGCTGTTTCTCATTTGTTGATGATGGTCAGCTCAGGCTTCCCGTGAGGCTGAATCCCCTAACATGTGCGTAGACCTCGACACGGCCCACGGGCCGCCCATTTTGGGCCAGCCCGGCCCGCCCGGGGGCGGGCTATGGGCGTCCTATTACCGCCCATGGGCGGGCTGCCTATTACTCCAGCCTAGACCTCGGCAGAGTCCAAACCCGCCCATGTCCAAAGCCGTCCAAACCCGTCCGTGGACGGGTTTGGGTACCCCATAGACTATCCATGGGCGGGCAGGTTAAGGGGGTGTCCGCCCACTGTCCAAACCTGCCCGTCCAAACCCGCCCACGCGGGGTAGTGGTAAGATGTATAGAGTTATGCAGTAATTTAGAGTATTTTAAGGTATTTTGGTTACAAAAAATCTAGATTATATTAGTTTAGAGTGACATGAATTCCGAAACGTAACAATTTCCATTTATTCTAACTCCCTGAGCCGCTTAGAAGGTCTAATTATCCTCCCTGATGTACGCTTTCGGCTAGTCCCCTCTGGTAATGGAAGAACTACATCATCATCATCATCATCACTTCTATCACTAGTTTCATCTTCCCTTCTAACTCGAGCACTCAGTGAGGGCACCTGCTGGCTAGATTCCTCAACAGTCAGCCGAGTGTCACTTAGAGTAGACACAGATTCTTCCTCTTCAGTATCACTGATCCCATCTACATAATTCTCTTCCCGATTAGTATTTAATTCTTCATCCTTAGCCTCCTGCTTATTTCTCGTCCTGTCCTGCTTCATGCCCTCTAGGTAAAGATCAGTGAGTTCAAACTTAGTAGAGTATATATATATCATTAGATCCTGTCGTGGAAAAGTGGAGAGTTTCATTACAGTGACCTCGGATTGGTCCATTTCCTTCCCAGATTTTGTATGTGTTTGTATGTAATATGCGGGTAACCTTTCGACATCGGTATGGTCACTCGAATACCCGGTTACACCGCCATGGGACAGCTCAACCTGCCCCTTTTCCATTCGTTCGAGTCCTTTCCTTTCCTTTCTTCAATCAATCAACCTTGTCTGTATGATTCCGATAGTTCTCATTCGTCCATATGCATACTAGCCTATACCAATTCAACCGGTTTTGATAGTTATGAGCCCGATCGCACGATTGGCTTGAATCGAATACCATCAATTTCGCCGAGTCCGATATTGCTCTGCTGTTCGCCGTCGATACGCTTCCAAAGCTTGCCCCTTTACCGCACCGAAACGTGCCTTCGAATCCTCCCGAGGACCCCTGCAAGGTTGCCCGTCGGCCGCACCGGATAACCCCCCTTAGAGACCCTCGGAGAACAGAAGGACTTCGATTTATATAGGAAACATAACTATAGAAGAGAAGAGACTGTTATCAACTGGGTCGGAGTGGGATCTCAAGCTCCGCCACTAGGACCAATGGAGAGTTTGGAAGGGTCACATAAAAGCTACAGCTAAGGCTTAAGAAGTCTGGCAATATATAGACCCAGACCTCTCCGACGATGAGATAAAATCTATCCCACAGAGGCTTTAACCACCGGATCTCGAAGAGGTCAAGACTAGTGCAACAAGCTAGGTATCCCTATCAGTAGAAGAAAGGGCCCACCTTACATACCTCTAGACGGTGTATAAGAAGAAGCAAAAGTAGTGGGATAAGGTTAAAGAAAGGCTGGCAAAGATCAACCAATTAATTATCCAGCGAGTTGACCGAGACGTGGATGAGCTAATACTCGGTATCAGTAGTCCTCGAGAGCAATTAAAGCTTCTAAAAGGGCGATTTAGTACCGGAGAAGAAGACCGCTAGTTAAGATTGAGAGAGACCTAGAGATCTATGATTACAGAACCAAAGGGTAATATAGACTAGGCAAAATGGCTCTCGACTTGGTCGAAATTATACTATGAGGCTCGAGAAGTAGGTGTACCTAACGTCTGTTACTAATCCGGTCAACACAAGAAGGACAGAGTACCCATTTAGGACTTCTTACGCTCTGTCAAGGATGACGATCCATTCTTCTATAACCTCTGGAAGAACAAGCTAAGGTCACTAGAGCTTGAAATCACCTTTATAGATATCCTCGATGAGTACCGGGTACATCGCCCGGAAGAGAAATCGATACAGAATCCCTCAAGCGTGTCTTTTAACGCCACTCTCAACGGCAAGAGGGCCGTATTACCACCTAATCAGGTAGGGCAATTAGCCAAAAGAAAGCCCTACCTAGTCTGCCAGAAACTAGGACATGCCCCGAAGAACTACTAGACCCTCACTAAGAAGTGGAGGTACCTAGTTAAGCAGGGGACCTTAGACGCAATCAAAGAAAGGACCAAGAAGCTTCCGTAGGAAGAAAGAGATAAGATCCTACAACAGTTAAAGCAGAGAGCCTCGGAGTTTAGTACTACAGCCAATCTCACCATCGCAGACGATGTAGACCTTCCCATAGAGACTATATCCTTTTATGCTACGACGGTATCACCTATAGTGGTAAATGCAGCGATAACGCACCCGCTTCGGCATAGCTAGATTCTCGATTCTGGGTCGAATATAAACGTCACAAATGATCGCGAGAGATTCGAGATTTACCAGCCAGCCAACCGACTCATCGGCTTAGGTAAGGGTAGTGTACAGGCGATTGGAGTCGGTAAAGCAAGGGTCCTTTTGACTAAGAAATCTGGCAAATCTGCCTAGGCAACCCTACCAGAGGTTTAGTATGCACCTAATTTCCAAACCAATCTAGTATCTGTGTCAGATATCGCCACTAGGGGATTCTTCTTTAACAGTGCACTACCGGGTGTAGTGCAAGGTAGACAAGAGATTACAAGATGCACTAGGCTGTTCGACCTATATATCCTCGAGGATTCGAGGGTTACAGGACCGGTTCCGCCGTAGATAGCTAACGGGGTATCCTTCGCCACAAGAGCCCTAAGTGAGACCGTAACCCCTAAGGTGTGGCACCGAAGATTTAGTCATATCGCCGAGAGACGCATCGAGAAGCTTACGGAGATAGTGGATGGCATTGAAATCAAGGAGTCCACTAAGGAAAACCCTCTATCAAACCCTGAACGATGTGCCACTTATTAGGCAACCAAAGCAAAGAGACAGGTCTCTCGGCGACCTGCAGAAAGATCAAAAGTGTACGGCAAGTTCGGCCGTATTCACTTTGACCTCGTTCAGATAGATGAAGCTTCTAATGGAGATAGATGGCTAAGCCATCTGTACCTCGAAGGTATCCGATTCCATATCACGCACACGCATCCGACAAAGAACGGCTATATAAAGGCGATTCGAGAAGCAATTACCCTCTACAGGAACCAGTTTGGTATGCAGATCCGTGTATTCAAAAGCGACTGGGAAAGAACCCTTAGTGAGGACTTCATTGAATACATCGCCGATAAAGGGATTATATGGGAACGAAGCGTTATGGGTACCCCGGAGCAGAACGGATTCATCGAACGCGCTAGAGGTGTCATCATCCTTATCGCCAGGGCGCTACTTAACGATGCTAATCTGCCTAAAACACTATGGCCCTAGGCGATTCGGGCATCGGCGTATATCTTGAATAGGACACCCACGATGCTTCAAAGCGGAGACCTCGTGGTACCCTGGATAGAAGCCATGTCAGCAAAGAACCCTAAGTCCCCGGTACGCCCAAACCTATTAAACCTTCGTATATACGGTTGCGGCGCGTAGGTACGCACGCAGAAGATCCCCAAGAAGGATAAGATAGAGCCTCGGGCCTAATTAGGATACCTAGTCGGGTACGTGGCTAGCAATATCTGGCAAATCTGGTTCCCTACCACCGGTACGGTACGAGAGGAGAGAGATGTAGTATTCGATGAGAAGATCAAGTACCAGGGTAAGGGCCTTCCGCCTACCCAATTCGCTCAAATCCCTGAGATAGACCCCTAGGGTGTGGGCATAGGACAGGTAGAGATAGACGATTCCGAAGAAGAAGAGCCGCTGCCTATGGCAACCGACGTAGGTACGACAGCCGAAGCCCAAAATCTGGGACCGACGAGTGCTCTGGGCAGCCCGATTCCTTCGCTGAAACCTAGTAGGGAACATCTGCCGACACCCGAACCATCGCCTACCCGCCAAAATAGGCCTATCCAGTATGCTGGAGGGGTCCCTAGAGCGTTCCCGACGGAGTCTGCGTCAGGGGGTGGGACCCCCACACGCCATACTCAAACCCCAGCTGAGGGGGTGAATCGGTCCTGGTCGAGTCCTAAAGGTCAGCTACGGTCTGAACTGGAGTGTTAACTAGATACCGAAAGCGATTCAGATTCACCGCCACTACCTGGTTACCGGGCAAAGGGCGACCTTACACCAAGGGATATCAGTGCAGATTTCTCAGAAAGCAATATTCTCTCCGGCAAGCGTTCCCGCAAGAGAACCGCCCATCTTGCCATAATGGCAGCGATGGCACACGGTAGCCAAGAAGAAGATACGCATTAAGGCGTTTTGTTGGCGTTTTCCACTGCAATTAGCTCTTCGAGAGACCAGGAGACGGCTACCAGGGACGACCTACCACCAGAACCAAAGACCTAGTCGGAGATGATAGACCATCCCCACTACCAAAGTTTTGTGCAAGCTGCTAAGCTCGAAATTGATACCCTACGCAAGAAGAACGCCTTTGTTGAAGTTAACAAGCCAACTGACCAATCTATGCAGATTCTGCCATTAAAATGGGTCTTTAACTATAAATTCAACAGTGATAGGCTTCTGACTAAGCATAAGGCCCGAATCTGCGTGAGAGGGGACCTCGAGAGGGTCTCAATCGATGAGAAGTACTCGGCAACCTTAGCCGTGCGCACCGCAAGATTCGTATTCGCCCTTGCGGCGCATTTCGACCTCGATACGACTCAATGGGATGCAGTCAACGCATTCTTGAACAGCCTATTACCTAACGAAGTGTATGTAGAACTACCTCCTGGCATGTTCCCGCAGAACCGCAAGAAGAGGTGCTGGAAGCTAGTTAAAGCCCTCTATGGTCTGCGCAAATCGCCAAGGCTCTGGCAACAGGAAGCCTCGAGGGTCCTTACTGCCCTAGGTTTCCAGGTAGTATATGAGGATCTCTGCCTATTCGTGAGAGAGGGTCTTATTATAATCTTCTATGTTGACGATTTGATCCTCTTCAACCACCCTTCGCAACGGGCTGAGGCGGCGGACGTCTCGAAAAGGCTGAACGAGGCGTGGGAACTCAGAGCGATGGGCGAAGCACAGTGGTTCCTAGGTATCCGCATCGTCAGGGACCGTTAAATAGGTACAATTTGGCTATATCAGGATGCCTACCTATTAGTAATTGCGTATAAATACCATCTTACCGGAGGCAGAAAGCTTGAAGTCCCTCCGGTAGAAATCGCCAATCTCAAACCCTTTGATAGAACCGCCACCGATAAGCACCGATTGGAGTACTCCTCCAAGGTAGGATCTGCCCAATACGCCACTACCATCACCAGGGTAGACGTCGCCAAGGTAACCTCCCATCTGGCTCAATTTCTATCCAATCCTTCACCAGATCACCTACATGCGATCGCCCAGCTGATCTCCTTCATGTACCAGACGAGGTCTCGCGCTATCTACTTTCGCCGAAATACTAGTGGTTTGCCTAGTGTTCAGTTCTGCAGTGATGCCTCGTTCGGTGATAATCACGATCGAAAGAGCTCTGGGGGATACCTCTACAAGATCTTTGGTGGACCGGTGGACTGGAAAGCAGCTAAGCAGAGGACGGTTACTACCAGTACTACCGAAGCTAAACTACTGGCGATTTCTGAAGCTGGCAAGTCCATGCGCATGTGGGAGCGAATCTTCCACAGGGTTATGTTTAACCCTGGTCACCCTGTCTCTATCCAATGTGATAATAAGCAGACTATCTCCTTATTAACTAAGGAAGCGCCTCATCTGCGCACGAAGCTGAGACATATTGACATTCATCAGCATTGGCTTCACCAGGAAGTGCAGGCAGGAAGGATACCCGTCGAATGGGTCCCTACCGCCGAGATAGACGCAGATGGTCTTACCAAGCTGCTTCCCCGTCAAAAGCATGCCAGATTCGTCAGGCAACTAGGCATGGAGGATATCGGGTATCTATTGGAAAGATTAGACTGATGCTCCAGCGAAAACCCTCGAGGATTTCCGCTGAGGGGGTGTGTCGTGGAAAAGTGGAGAGTTTCATTACAGTGACCTCGGATTGGTCCATTTCCTTCCCAGATTTTGTATATGTTTGTATGTAATATGCGGGTAACCTTTCGACATCGGTATAGTCACTCGAATACCCGGTTACACCGCCATGGGACAGCTCAACCTGCCCCTTTTCCATTCGTTCGAGTCCTTTCCTTTCCTTTCTTCAATCAATCAACCTTGTCTGTATGATTCCGATAGTTCTCATTCGTCCATATGCATACTAGCCTATACCAATTCAACCGGTTTTGATAGATCCTGAATACTTGTCGGCTTTAGTGATCCACGACGATAGTGACAGATATCCCGTACAGAGTTAAAGAGACGCTCTACACCTACACCGGTTACTAGGATAGAGAGAATATCGCGTGCCGTAGTTGCGAGTGCTAGTAGGGATGACTCTTGCTTCCTCCAGAATAGACCTCGCTTTGGGTCGGGTTTGGGTCCAACTTCAGGACCCGTACCCGCGGGTCGGGTTCATACCCAATACCCAAAACCCATACCCGTAGACCCGTGGGTTCTTAGCGGGTAGCCCGCGGTTACCCGCCAAGAACCCGTTTCAGCATAAATATCCTAATTAGTTCATGCCAAGGCGCACAAAACTACTGATTAACCTCATTGAAAATACTGTTATTTACATCTGTTCCAGTTCCCTCTGTGGTTCTAACTAACAAAACCCTCTTTTCTCTATGAAAGATTAAGAAATTAGCCGGTTTTCTTTTTAATCAATAGCAGTAATATTACATATTTTGCTTTAACGACTATATAATATTATTGTGGTTTTAAAAACTAATATAGATCAAAGCTCTGTCGTTAGAAGTGCGGAAATATATTATAAACTGTAGTGTAAAGATAACTACTTGCAGGGTAGAAAACCTGTTGATCAGGTAAGGTTGGAAGCACCTAGTGAAATTCGTGGCAAGACTGTTTCTTGAGGAGTCTGAACCTACTCCTCAAGGTCCCAAATTTATATACAGTCTCTCATACAAAACAGGGAACTAGAAGAGGGGTAACCACGGTATGAGCGTGCATGAGCTAAAAGGTTGTGTAACCAGCCAACGTGGCCTACCGACAGGGTAGCCCTTTAGATACGCCACCGAGGAGCTGTCGACTGACCGCCGGGTCGGCACCCTCTTGGCAGAACGCCCGGGCCTCGTGCGGCCTGGGGCATCAGTCTACGAATAACCTCAATATCAGGATATCATAACATGTAGAGTGAAGTACGTATATTTTTGCAAGGATAATATAGAATTCTAATATCTCTTTAATCCTACGACTTACGAGGGATTATTTAGTCTCAAAACAATCGGCGTATATTTATTAATCTATACTTTAACTAATCGAGTGCTCTTTTATCTTATTTAGGTTATTAATTGCGAAAAAGTGGATAGATTTTACCTTGATTAAAGACTTAGAACGAAATTATTTAAGGAAAACGGGTTACCTACGGATTACCCGCGGGTTTATAGGTTCTTAGCGGGTAACCTATAGGTTACCTATCCTATATATAGGCTATAAGCTAATAATAATAGCTTTTATCTATCTATATAGGCCTTTATTGATATATTATCTTTTTTACTTTAGAAGAATAGGGTATTACGAGGCCCTAGAATCTACGTCTACGCGCTAAGATTTTTTTATAAGTCTTCTAAGTCTCTAACTATCCTTAGCTAAGTGCTCGTTAATTAGTATATTACTAGATATCTTAATTTACTAATATCTCCGTATTATCTTCTTATAATATAGACCTTCTAGATAACTTTTAACTCCTCCGATCGGATAATCTAACCCCTAATCTATCGATTAGCTAAAGAAACTTCCCTTTTATCGCGAGCTCTATAGGCGATTCTAGTTTTATTCGATTAGGATTACCTTCGCCCCCGGTACCTAGTTCCCTCGAGATCGTTCGACCTAATCGTATCACTATATACGTAGTCTACTCTAAAATAATAAGCGACGACTATATATAATAGTGGCTATAAACGGACTTCGGAAGGAAGAAGCGTATACACTAGGACTCGCGATACTCTTCCGACGTTTAGGACTACTTTAATTAGGTAGCTAGGGCTAGTGATAGCGCGCTAAAGGTTATATATAAGTATTATAAGGCTATCCTTAATTATCTAGGGCTTAGAAATAGAACTTTAACGATAAAGAAATATACTACTAGCTATAGTAGGAAGCTAAAAAGCTAAAATATTAGGTAATTTATATAAGCGGTAAGCTAGCCCGTTAGTCTATAGGCTATAGGATATATACTAATTTCGACTACTTCTATAGGCGCGAAGCCCTTTAGTCGATACTCTATTTAGCTAGGAAAAATGGGAATTAAGTCTTCTTCGATTTATTACTAAATCGAGGCTACCCTTCTAGCTTCTAGAGTATCTAGGGTTCCGTGATATAATATCTATAGCCTAAAATACCCTAAGGTAGGTTGATATTCTATCTATAAAGGTAGTACGGAGCCGGCTACGAAGTACGGTACTCGAATACTATTAGAATATACTATAGAAGCTCCCTAAGGATAGAAAAATTTTAATTATCCTCGACTGTTAGATATCTCCTTTCTAGTAGGTATTTATAGTAGTTACGGGCTACTTCCTTAATAAAGACTAGAATTATCGGGAGCTACTTCTTGGATTTAAGCCTCTTTATAGAATATACTTAGGTATTAACCTTAGCGCTATTCTGTTCTAGCTACTATAGAAGTATAATTTAACCGATCGAGTACTTATATTCACTACTAATAATATATCGAATAATAATACTTTATTAGCGAGTATCTAAGAGACTATCTAGTTCCTTAACCTTAGCGATAATATAGAGATTATTCGCGTTCTATATATTACCTATATTATTTAACTAAGCTTAAAGTAACTCCTAGGTTAGATAAAGGTAAATCTAATGAACGACACTACTTAAATATAATAGACTGAATCCTAGGACTAATTAATTCGGTCTAGGTATTAGAAACGGGAGATCATTAACACTTTAAATAAGGTTCGTTACTATTAGACTTATTAAAACTTACTTCTAATCTATTTTTATAGCTTCGAAGCTTAGCTATCTTTATTAACGTAAGCCTATAGTACCGTGAAGCTTTCTGTAGCCTCTAGATAGATTCTATAGCTCTTATTCCGATATAGGATATTCGTACCCAGTGGAATTCGACGTTTTGAATGCTTCGCTATACTAAACGACTATAATCCGTCTTAGATAAGTTTTACTCGAAGTACGGCTATCTATATCTTAAGCTTAACTAGGAGTAATAGCGTTAGATTGACTATTTGCTTTAGATTACGCGGTCGTTCTTCTAGTTCACTACTACGCTATCGAAAACTAAAGATATTACTATTTATTTTATCTTTACTATCTATAATAAGCTCTTCGATTATCTTGAGAAGTCGATTAAGTAGCTTATAAGTAAGAAGGTAGGCTAGAAGAAGCTTATACTTACCGCTCTTCGTGCGGCGGAGGAAAAGCTTAGGCAGTACTATAGTAAGACGGATAATATTCCTAGTAATATCTTTACTATTAGTATAATACTCGCACTATAATATAAGCTCTAGTTCTTCCGGAGTAAAGATTAGGGCCCTAAGTAGCTCACTAGATATCGATAAAGCTTTGTGGACCACTTTAAACTATATAAATAACGTCTATCAGAAGAACAGATAGGGAACGGTAAAAGATCTACTACGTAGAGTATAGGTATAGATCTTAATCGGATAATTAGCCTAGATTAGATTATCTAGGCTAGCTAGTAGGATAAGCTTATAAGATATATCGATAGTAGTAAGTATCCTTATTCTATTAATTACCGGACCTATACTAATAAATATATCTTAGCCACCGTTTCTAGTATTCTAATACAGGCGTTCTAGAAGGAGAACTAGACTATATTCCCTACGCTTATAAAGCTCGCACGCGATATACTCTCGATTCCTGTAACTAGCGCCGGCGTTAAGCGGCTATTTAACACTACTCGGGATATTTATCACTATCGTCGAGGCTTACTAAATACTATAACAATTTAGGAGCTTATATTATATAGGTATACGACGTAATTTAAAGTCGAAGAGGATAGAATTGCTTTTCGGAAGGAGTATCTTTCTAAAGGGGAGATAGAAGCGGATTATAAAGAGAAAGATACCTAATAACTCGAGGGTACCGTCGACCCGATTAGTGACGATGAGGAGAGTGATAAGGACGATATATAGGAGGGTTTAGTCCTTATTTAAGCGTAATTAGTAACGTAAGGTCCCTCGAAACGTGCTCTTGGAAAGAGAAGAAAGAGTACTATATCTGAACGAGACACTAAAGGCTATAGAGATAGTAACGAGGAGGAAGATGTTCCTCTACCGGAGACATAATAGCGTATCTTAGGAAGATCTAGGAAGCGTTCGCGGTATAATAATGATTAGTTCATAGTTTATTAGTTTAGTTCTAGAATTGAAGACATTCATAGTTATCCTCGACCTTATTTCTACAAGAATCCACTGCCTATAAGCCAGATACCTATAATATAGCCTAGAAATGCATAATATATACATATCAAGAGGTTCTTCATGTTTGTATTATTTATCAACCCGTGGGTAACCCCCGGGTAACCCGCGGATTCAATATCTCAACCCGTACCCGACCTTCGGTTCTATACCCTCGACCCAAAACCCGCTAAGAAACGGGTACGGGTCGGGTCCAACCCGTCTACCCGCGGGTTTGGGCGAGGTCTATTCGCATCTTTCGCGGTAGACAAATGGGTGAAAATGTCCCTATTTTGCTTGCTCTCGCCTATTACGGATCGCGCGTGTGTCTTCTCTTTGATCCAATCTCCGAATGTCCTGATTTGAGACGAAATGGTGGATAGGAAGACTCGGTCAATTTTGTATTTCCATACATTTGGCTGCACAAAGCACTGGAATAAATTCGCG